GCTACCATTCAAGTTTTATTTACTAATTCAAAAAATTTCAATAATTTTCATGATTTTTTCAAAAATATCTATCGACAACGACATTTCGAACCCTGCTTATATCTGAAATCTTAATCATAATTTAATCTTTCACTCAATTTTTCACTTTATAAGATAATAATAAAAAAATAATTTCTAAGAGGTATGTAGATTATGTAAAAGTTATTATAAAATTATATAGACAGCTGAGTGGAGGTCGAGAGTTTACTTTCTTTTTTTTCTTTCACATAGATAAGGTGTAAGGTATTTTCGCTTGGGTTGTTCAAATGCACCTCACAATTGTGATATGATATTCATAAATATACTAATTAAAATGATATACTTAGTTGCTAACGCACGTACAAGAGATCTTCATTGACTTTCATTTTTTTTTGTTTTTTCTAGTTGGTTGAGCTTGTTAAGCATCTACCTTGAAAATGAAAATRACCTTACAAATGTTTATAATAAATACTGACTACTCTGACTGTTAATTGATTTTTAAGATGGAACCCTATAAATATTAATATATTATGAGAAGTAAAGCTCAAATGAGTATCATGTTTAAAAATAGAATCCGATCGAGATCAATTAACCAAAAATAGCTACTAACCTAACTTGTTTTTTATGTGGTTTTTTTTAACATGGAACAATGAATATAGTGAGATCCACTTAATAACGGAAATGAAAACCATAAATCATATACTAAATTCTAGTTATTTTTTTAGTAAAAAATATGGGGTTGGGAGATAAATCCTAATTGTGTGAGTAGGTAGACAAATTTTGTTTAGAGGGAGGTGGGCATTCATTCGTGGCATGTCTCTCCCTCTCAAAAATTGATACCATAATTTAAAATAAGGTTTTAAAATATAGTCTCGGTCGCGGTGACCCATATTTGACTCATTTAATAAAATTATCGTTGTATTTTCTTTTTCCTTTCCTTTCCTTTCAAATATATATTTAGCGGTATCCAGGTACTAAGGTTCATTTGATAATATTTTTAATTTTTACTTTGTTTTTCATTTTTTATTTTTGATAGATATAAACATTTGATAATTGTTCATGTTTTTGTTTCTCATTTTTAAGAAATTATTTTTAATAGTGTGGAAACAACAAAATTAAGCGACTGTTTTGTAACGTTTTTTTTATTTTTTGTTTCTTATTTCTCCTTTTTATTAAATGCAAATATAATTGTATTTGGTAACTATTTATTAAGCTTACAAGTCAACAATTATAAGACAATATCTTTATTATGTTCTGACGAAAAAAAATATAACAAAAACAAAAAATTTGATTTTGTTGTAATTCCTAAAATTTTTATACAATTTCGAAAACATTTCTAAAAAATAGAAACAACRCCCTTAAGTTTTTCAATAAAATTAGAAACAAAAAATTAAGAAATTGTCATGTTACCAAATAACATTCAATCAATCTTTGTCTAACAAATATTCCATAAATTTTAAAAAAATTATCTGACACTTTTTAAAATTCAAACACCTACTAAATACAACCACGAAGGACTAAACTTGGTAATTTAACTAAATTATATATTACTTCATATTTTTTTTATCAATTACATTTTTTAGTACAACGACTTGAAAAAGTGGAAATTTGAATCTACCGAAGAGTCGTGTTCAAGTTTATATTTTTTTTATTAGTTTATTAATGAATTGATTAATAATACGAGTGTGTACATAGCGTCAAGTTCCTCATAAACATCGTAATAAAGGGCGTGTTGTTGTAGAACTCTTACACCAAGACGCGTGTGAATTGTGATATAATTTTTTTTCTTCAAAATTTTGGAGTTGAGTGTGAGAGGATACATAGAACTTAATAGTTTCAATTTTTTTGGTCCACTGAATTTAATACATAATCTAAAAATTGAAACATGAAAACGGAACACATTAATTCAAATTTTTAATAAAAGTAGAGTTTATGTCAAGCTTGTATTTATATATTATAGAAAAAAAGAGTTTCATTGGGTTTGTGTATCTGTGTAGTGAATTCATAATTTATAGTAAAGAGAGGTGCTAGTGAAAATTTTATATTTATTTAACAAGAAAATTGTATGAATGACTTGAATTTTAAATTTGTGACCATTTTTCATTAATTTTAAGAGTGATGGATTTTAGTTGATACATGATAAATTAGATTAATTAAATCCCTTTTTAATTGCATAGTTAATTATGTTATTTTTAATTTAACTCTTGAACAACGTCATTAAAAGTTTATGTTGATGCGTTAAGATAAATTTAATTATTTATTAGATGTCTTTAAAACATTTTTTATTTTTTAATTAGAATTTGCATATGGTTTATTCATATTAAATATTTATTCATTTGTTATTATCTAAAATATACATACATATATATTAATTTATTATTTTTTAGCAACTCATTTATATAATTTTATTCTCAATTTTGCTAACATAAAAGACGGTCAGAAGCTCAAATTGACATGCTCTAATTTGGTTGTACTAAAAAATTTAATTTTCAGTTTTAATGGAAGCCCAAAAAAGCCCAATGGTAGGTTTTAATGGGCTCTTTTGGATATTCAGAGTGAAGGTCTCGCCCTTTGCAAGGAGCTTCAATTTCGTTCCTTCCTTGTAATCTAAAATTGGAAGTCTTTCTCACGTCGGCTAACTGGGGATTTAAATCTTATGCAAATTATTTTTAAAAAATAAATACCTAATTTTTATTATTATTTATTTTGGGATGAGATTGAAATAATTCTTTTAAACGCTTCCAAGTAAAAGCATTTCTTTGGAGGAGCATTAGTTAAAGAACGTTTTTAGAAATTATTTTAGAATTAGTAATTTTAGCAAATATATATGTGTATATATTTAATGATAAATGATTTTGTGAAAGTAATTTTTATATCATTGTTTTAATGTTTGGTTATATCTTTTCGAGTGATTTCCATATAATTAAAAGTGATCGGAAATGATTAATATTTGAAATATAAAGAGAGAATTTGACCAAAATTTTAGAGAGGAACAAAAATATTAGAGAACAAAATTTTAGAGAGTGAAAGACGCCAATTTTAGGGGAGAAATAAACTTAAAAATAGATGGGACTAAAATTTAAAGAGAGATCATAAAAATTCTAAAGAAAAATAAAAATCTAAAAAACAATTTCATTGATTTTTTTAATTAAAAAATATTGTGGTGTGAGATTCAAACTCAACACCATATGGTCGAGGTTATAATATTTATCCATTAAACTATCTTGAGGTTAAATTATTTAGTATCATTTGTGTAAAAAGGTGAATGAATCGAGTAAAATTGAATGTCTAATATTTGAAAGATGGTTGATTCACGAGAGAACTTGCATGTATAACATATTGACAATAAAAAGTTTAATATTGTAACAATAATGCATAAAACAATTATTTATAATCGAGTTACGTAATTAATCGATTATAGATTCCATAAAAACTATATTGGTTATTATAATATTTTCCCTAATTTTATTAACACTTTTTATTTCCACATGATATAGAATGCTGTTTTAAAATTTTTTTTTTTTTTGAAAAAGTTGGTTATGTTTTGATTGTAGGCGGGCCAATCAATGATATACGTTGGAGGAAATATGAAAAAGTATATATATTTACGTCTTGAATTTGATTAATAACTATTTAGGTTGTGTTCACTACTATTAAATATTTGACAATTAAAAAGATAAATACAAAAATAAAATTATATTTAAAAAATAATTAGCTATCAATTTTTTTTTAATGGTGAACAACTTAAAGATAGATTCTCACAAGTCATGATCTAAATATTTTTCATATAAAAATTAATGGTAAGGATTTAAAGATAAAAGCGAACATAATTCAATGATAACTAGTATATATATATATATATATATATATATATCCAACAAAAAATTTGTGAGTTCATCATACGCACATGTTGTACTAAATATAAAAAAAAAATCAAATTAAACCATATATGTTTGTTATAATTTTTTTTTTTGGAAAACAACAGTATAAATAATTGATTAATTGTCAAATTGAGCATAGTTCAAGTAGTAATTAAGGTACCTATTACTGATCAAAAAGTCATGAGTTCGAACCTCACCTCCACATATTGTACTAAAAAAAGAATTAATTAATAAATATAAATTTTACATAATTTTTAATTAATTTTATTCATTAATTCATCTTTTAATTATCATCCACTAATCCTAGGTGAACGTAGCTCAATTCATTAATATGCACTATTTTTTTCAGTACACATTAATATGCACTATTCAATTCTGAGAGATGGAACAGAACATAATACCAAATCTCTAATTGAACTCAAATAAAGAAGAATCATGTTTGCTTCCTTTTTGTAAATTAATTATTAAATGATTTTATTAAAATATGCTATTTGTAGCATTTCCAAAAATTTAATTACAATGCAAGAAATCCCTTCAAGCCCTATTTCTATCTAGTTGGTGAAAACGATCATAAAAAAAGCCAAGTACATTAATATGGGTACCAATAATGAGAGTTTTTACTCACATTTCTGGTGTGGGTGACTTCTCCGTCACTAAAAATATAGTAAAAAATCTCGATTGTCCATCGTTAAATTTTTTATTAATACGAGGGAAATACAAAGAAGGACGGTAGCAAATAAAGATTATTTCCTTTTTCGAAGAAAAAATTTTAGTGATAAGAAACAAAAAAGATATTTATTTAGTTGTAGGTGGTAGTAAATTCTTCTTTTAACATATAGAAATCAGTAAAATATTATTCCTAAAAAATGTCACATGAAAAGCTCTATATGCTACTACCAACGTTCTAAATGTTATGTATTTTTTAGTTACTAAAAGTACATCATATAGAAAGGTCGGTGTGAGATTCTATTGATGTGATGTATTGCGATTTTATGATGTTGTGTACTTATATATAATCGCCTAAAGTACTTTAATAGACCGATAGTTTGAGAACCATTAATTATTGAATGTGGCCAACCTAATGTAGCCACTATCTAATAATTGATTTCATACGTACAAATTCGAAATCTATATACTCCTAATGATGACCCATTAGATACATATTCGAAATAAAGTTTTTGAAATTTTTCTCTCATACATTCCTAATTAGTCATGTTGTGGTGACCTCTCCCAATAATCTTCGGACTCCTTACTCACGAACATATATTTTTCAAATGCTTATCATTTCCCTCCAAATTTCTTCATAATCTCCATTAAAGTAGCTTCTCTAGCTTCAAGCCAAGCTCTCTCCCTTGCACAAAACTCATGCATTTCATGATCAAACCTAGCCACCTCTTGTTTCCTCCATTCTTCCTCTCTCATGATCCTCTCCCTCTCTCCATCTTCAACGCTCGCCATAATCTTCTCCATCCAATTCTCCTGCGTTTCCATTAATATACTCAGCTTCGAATCCACCATTTTCTCCACCTCCTCTCTCCAGCCCTGCCCTTTCTTCTGCCTCTCCTTCTCCCTCGGAGCATCGTTCTCCACCTTCCTCTGATTCATCATAAACGCTATCGCCGACAGATCGTCGTCGTGGTAGTTCGCCGACGACGACGTTTCGAAGTCGGACGAGATCGAGAAGCTCAGGCTCACCCCAGCCGACGCCATGTGGTGGTCACTGCTGGCCTCTTTGTGGATGTTTCCGCCCGTCGTCGACGCCGGGGAAAGATTGGCTCCGGCGACGTCGGAGTTTCGGTAGAAGATGGATTCTGAACCGGGGGATGGTAATTGGTCGCTGCATTCTCCATAAATGGCTTCGAGTTGCCGGAAGAATCTGTAATGCTTCCCGTCGTGCCTCCCACTTTTGCCTTCCTTCGTTTTCTTGTAGTATTTGTACAGATTATCGAACTTCTCTTTGCATTTTTTCCCACTTCTTTTATATCCGTATTCCTCAGCCATCATTCTGTAAATAATAATAACAACAATTATAATATATCTAAATTAAATAGATTAAAACAAAATAAGAACAATGAAGAAAAAATTATGATTATTCAAAAGTTACCAGGTCAATACTTAACTTTTAAATTGGGTCTAATGGACTGTATTCAATTTAGAAGCTTTCTAATAAAATTCTAAACTTTTTATATTATGTTAAAGTGTTTTTAATATATTTTCAAATTTCAATTTTGTTTAAAGGAGTCATTATAATTTTTCTTAATTCAACTACCTATTAGACATTTTGAGATCTATTAGACAACCATTCAATTTTATCTAATAGTTTATATCTAAATTTTAGAAAATATCTAATAGGTGAAGAATCTGTTAGAAATAAAATAAATTAAAAGTATGGAATTTTAAAAGCTATGAACCTATTGGACACTATCCTTAGAGACAAAATAAACTTTAAAAAATTATTTTACAATTTACGGTATTTTATAAATGATTAGATGTAGGGTGATAAGTGTTTTAAAATATCTTGCTTGTACATCACCAAAAATATCTTTTATAGAGGAAAAAAAAGAGTACATAACAATGCAAATAATTGAAGTAATTTTATCAATATTTGAAATAACCAATAAAATTTGTACGAAAATGGAGAGAAAAAAAATAAACTATCAGGTTTCGTTAATGATTTGAGACAAACAAGCCCTAGGTTTAGGAGTCGGAAGAGCTTGATAAGAGACAATAAACGGATCGTTTAAGGTTGTCTTCTTCCAGGTCTAACTATTTTTTTTCTTTGGATTAATTCATTTTGTACTTCGTTTTAATTTAATTCTAAACTAATAATGGAAACATTCCTCAATAATTGTCCTAAAAATCGGTCGCAAAATACTAGATCTTTTCCTTTAAAATAATTAAATATATATTTCCACAACCAAAAGCCAAAGCTTGCTAATTAAAATATCTATATGTGTGCAAATCATATTATATAATCTTTCAGTAACCGTTACACACGCGATATTATGTTTATATTATTAAATAAATCATCTAATTTTTGGCACGAATATATAATTTGGGAAAGAAGAAGGCGAGAGAAGCCATACACAGACGATTAAATCAAGAAAAAAAAAAGAAAGCAAAAAAGAATGGAAATAGAACATATGGGTCTCTGACTCTCATTTAATTAATACTTCAATATGGCTGTCATTTTCAAGCAATTAAATCATGTTCTTTTTAATACATAAAAAAACGTAATAAATTTATCCCAAAGCTTAAAAATTCAAGCCACTGGATTTTAGAAATATTCTAGTTGAATTTTTATTTTGTTTGGCAATTGAAAATCAAGAAGAAATTGAAGGGGTAAATTTAAAAATATATATTATATATTATATAATTACCTAGAAACTTGATCCCAAAGAGGACCTTTCTGATTGCTCTCTTTAAACCTGGAATCAAGACGAGATCTGATCTCAAGAAGAGTGAGAGTTTCCTGTCTGGGCCATCTACTGTTAGCTCCACCAACGACGTCGTTTCCATAGGGGCATGACCATTCGCTAT